ACACAATTTTGAGGTCCCCAGGAATGGGGGGAGGCTCCTGGCCAGCCCTGGGGCCACCAAAATCCACAGAGAGCACTGGTGCAGAGCTGGGCTGGGCCCAGTTCCAGGGAATTGGCAGGTCCAGGGTGCCCCATTCCTGATGGCAAAGAATGAATTTGATAGGAAGAGGCCACAAGGACCTGGCTGTTCAATTTGCTCTAAAGAATTCCTGTTGAAATCCGTCCTTCCCAAATGCAGAGGTGTTTCCATTTGTTTCATTTCCTCCTCTCACTTCTTCAGCAGTGAAATGGAAAATGGGGGGGGAAAAAAGAGATAATTGGGAGGATGCCAGCTGTGAGCTTAAAATAGATCCAAATCCTTCCTCTTCCCTACCTGCAGAAGGAAAAGAAGGAGGTGTTTAAATATCTATCTCTATAAACACATTTATTTATGGATTAGCCTTTTATTCCTTTAAGGAAGGCCAGGAATAATGGCTCTGGCAGGAAGCACCAATTAAAGCAGCCCTGTCATGTGTGGCACAGCCCAGGCCCTTCAACCCACAGCTGATTCCCAAATGAAGTCCCTGGATCAGCCACGTGTCCCCTCCAAAAACGGGGAGGAAGGAGGATTGAATCCTTTGGGATGTGCAGGGATCAGAGACCCCCCACGGGCAGGGTCCACAGCCCAGCTAAGATCTGGCTCCTGAAATCTTCCCAACTGATCTTCTGTGCAAGCCTGGAAAAATCCCACTTCATTTGCCTTCCCCACGCTGGATTCCCAGTGTAATTCCCAAAGGAGCAGCCACACCACAGCTCACTTGGGCATTTGTTTGATCTCTCTCAGGTTTTTGCCTTTAAACACACACAAGGAAATGAGATATCCAAAGTTTCCCTATTTTTAATTTTTTTTTTGTTTTGTTGTGAAATCCAAGTGTTTTTACTCCTTTGGTGCTGTTGGGGTGAAGCAGCAGATGCAGAAATCCTGGCACTATTTCTGTGCTCCCAATATTTTGGTATGGATGGAATATTTCACCTCCCTGCATTCAAAACAAACAGCCCCAAACCCCTGCAGCCCTCAAAATTCCCTCAATTCCTTGGGAGAATTTCCCAGCTGGAAGCCCAAGCATTTATTTAATTTATTTGCATGAAAAATGAAACAAACCCAAGGAAAACAACGACAGCCCCCTTTGGATGTTTCTGGGGCTCCCCAAAGCCCTGCTGCCAGGGGCTGTCACATTCTCTGGGCTCTGAGGCAGCAGGGCTGGCATTAGGGCCGAGTGGTGGCTTCCATGGAAACCCCAATTTCCAAGTGTTCTGTGCCTTTCTGCTTCCACGCTGGCTCCAGCAGGAATTGTTTCTGCAGGGCTTGGCCAGAGCAGGGAATTCTTCCCAAAGGTTTGGGGGTTGCAGAACACATTTAAGGCTCATTTTGCCCCAGCACCCTGGGCTGTGGGGTCACATCTGTCCCCAGAGCCTGTGGGGGTCACATCGATCCCCAGGGATTGTGGGGTCACATCTGTCCCCAGGGATTGTGGGGTCACATCTATCCCCAGGGATTGTGGGGTCACATCTGTCCCCAGGGACTGTGGGGTCACATCTATCCCCAGGGATTGTGGGGTCACATCTATCCCCAGGGACTGTGCGGTCACATCTGTCCCCAGGGACTGTGCGGTCACATCTGTCCCCAGAGCCTGTGGGGGTCACACTCATCCCTGGGGTCTGTGGGGGTCACACCCATCCCCAGGAGGCTCCTTGGGTCCCAGAGCCCGGCCCAGCACAGGCAGGGCTCCCTGCAGGATGGCACATCCAGCCCATATCCAGCTGTGCCCGGCTGTGCCCAGCAGTGCCAGGCTCTGCTCCTGCCCCTGGAGGTGGTTCTGTGCTGGCAAAGGGATCCCATTCCCAGGCCAAGGGGTCCTGAGCCCCCTGCCTGGGGACAAGCAGCCTTTCTTTCTGCCCCTTGTTCTCCTGAAAGCCAAAAATCCCCATCTTTTTATTGCAGGGGCTCTGGGAGCACCAAATCCAGCCTAGCAAGGTTGATCTGGGAATCCTGGAATGGTTGGGGTTGGGAGGGACCTTAAAGCCCGTCCAGTTCCAACCCCTGGGACCCCTCCCAGTGTCCCAGGCTGCTCCAAGCCCCAATGTCCAGTGGGCCTGGGACACTGCCAGGGATCCAGGGGCAGCCACAGCCTCTGCAGGAATTCTATTCCAGGCTTCCCCACCCTCCCAGGGAGGAATTGTTTCCCAAAATCCAAGCCCCATCCTGCCCCATTTGATCCCAGCCCTGTAATTTCTCCCCCTGCCGCTGGTCCCTGCAAGCTCAGCAGGACAGAGGATGTCCCACAGCCCCTCCATGCCTGGGGCCAATCCCAGGGGATAAACCCAGGGATAAACCCCGGGATAAATCTACTGCCCACTCATCCAGCAGGAACCGCTCAGGAGAGCAAGGGAATAAATCCCAGAAATCCCCTGGGATGCTCCAACGGACACAGGTGGGGAGTGTGGCCAGGGAAGGGGCTCCAGTCACCCTGTGAGGCTGGAGAGAGGAGTTTGGAGGGGGATCCTCCCTCCCTTTGCTCCCTTCCAGGATAAATACTAATACTAATACTCATACTAATACTAATACTGATACAATCCAGCAGAACAAAGTTTTAGGATTTCCTTTCCAGGGGATTTCAAGCTTTTCTTTAATCCTTTTTGTCTTCACCCGGGTCAATGTTTGAGGTGAAAATGAAGTTTCAAAAGAAGCCAAAGGTTTTGTTTGGAACAACTTCCAAATAGTTGTCTTCCTGTCCCCTTGCAGGGGCACCCAGGGGATGTTTTGGGGAGGGAATGGTGGAATTTCCCCACAATAATTCACTGAATTTGTCAAGTATCCCAAACTACAGAATCCCAAATCCATTCTCATCTGGAAGGAGGAAAACTCACCCAGCTCAAGGGATAATTTCCAAGTGACTTGTTGTTTAATTAGCAATATTTCTGTATCAGCTCAATTATTTCTTATTGGACTTAATTAGGTCCAATCAGCTTTTAAGCTGCTGTGGCTGCCTGAGGAATTACCCAGGGCTCGGATGCAGGGAATGAGCTGCTTTCCCAAATAACTGCAAACATGGAGAGAATTTCCAAAGGCTGGGGCCATGTCCCACCAGGTGATACCGTGGAATTTCACCATCAGGTTTGCTTTGGCTTTGAAATGTTTTTGTGGGGAACCTTTTGGATTCCAGCTCCAGTTGGCCTTGGCCATCCCACTGCCCTTTGCCAGCTAAGTAAGAAAAATTGCTTCCCTCTAACAAATCAAGGAGATATGAGTGGATCATTTGGAGCGGATTTCAGGAAAAGCTGCTCCCCATGCAAACCTGCTGCTCTTTCCTTCACAAGCTCCTTTTGCCAGGCTGCACCCACCCCCCCCCCCCCCCAAAAAAAAAAAAAAAAAAAAAAAAAGAAAATAAAAAAACCCCAAAAACAGTGAAAAACCTTTTGGAGAAGAGAAAGAGCTGAAAGCAAGGCCAGGGCTGGGCTGGGCTTTCCCCACCGGGGAACGCAGCCCGGCCCGACTGTGCCACAGGGCTGGGATGAGCACGGAGAGGGAAGGAATTCGGGAGGATGTTCATGGTCGGGCAGCTTTTATTTCCTTGGGTTTGTGGCAATAAATCACTGATAAAACAGCCCCGGCCCACCTGGCGGGGAAGTACTTGGGATGCTGATTATCCTGAGAGGGAGCCAAGGGGAAAAACTCCCACTGCTTTCAACAGGCGGCAGGGAAAAACGAGCCGGGATGCGCCGGGAAAACGGCAGCAGAGGCTCCCTGGAGCTGCCAGAGATGCCGCTGGCATGGATACGGGAACTGCTGGCCTCTTCCCACTCGGTGCCGAAAGGTCACGGCCGGTGCTGGGGCGGTGGGAAGGATTTGCTGCTTACGAGCAGTGCTACAAAAATGGGAAAATGCTCCCGAGCACGGACACGAGCTCGGGAAAAAACACCCGAGTTATCTGAGGGCACCTGGCTGAGCTCAGGCAATGTTTGTGCTGCTGCCACTTCCCCCGCCCTGCAGGGCACAAGCTCAGCATCCCAGTCCCGTTTCCCCCCGTGTTTCCGGACAAGGAGTGGGATTTTGGGCCGGCTGCCCCCCAAGCCGGGGCTGCTGCACGTTCGCTGCTTTGCCACAATAAAAAAAGCAACTCGCCGGGAGAGGCTGGAGAGAACCAGGCTGTAACGACTCCATCTATTGGGTAAAAATATACGGCTCCAAATGCACAGGGAAAATTAATTCCGAGGGAAAAAAAAATATATCAGAGGGGATTCGGAGCAGTTACCGGCACTTACGGCTTAATTGGACACAATTAGAGGAATGTTTCTCGGTACTGTTTGAAAGCAAAACGAAGGAAACGGCAGCCGCTTGCACAGATCCAAGCTCAGCAATCCCGAGGAATGCCAATCCACATCGCGAGTTATTCCCGTCGCACAGGGTGCTAAGGGGCTTTTTTCGGTGTCCGATCAGGGCAGGAGGAGCCCCTGACCCCGAAGGGCTCCGCAGGCTCGGGGTGAGGGGCAGCGAGGGGCGGGGGCGATGCTTCCCGGAACGCGTTTCTCCCTTTCCCATTTGTTCCATGGGAGCCGAGGCGCGGGGAGCAGAGCCCGGAGCCCCCTCCAAAGCCATCCCCCCCTCCCCAGAAAGCAGCGGCCGCACGGAGCCCGCTGCAAGCCTCGCCTCCGTTACCCTCGGCTTCTCTTGATATTATGTTCTCCCCCGGGGCTGCTGAAAAGCAGAAAAACAAACTCCTGCCGGAGGAGGGAGGAGGCAGCGAGGGGGGGCCGGGGCCGGCGGCAGCCGGGGGATAACGGGGGGCGGAGGAGGAGGAGGAGGAGAAGGAGGAGGAGGAGCGGGGGGCTACTCCGGGAAAGCAGCAGCGCGATCGGCGCCGAGCATCGCTCCCTCCGCCTCCCGAGCGCCGAGCGGCCGGGACTGGCACCTCGGCGAGCTTCGTCCCGCTCTTCCTCCTCCTCAGCCTCCTCCTCCTGCTGCTGCTGCTGGGGCCGCAGCCGGCGGGGGGCCCGGGGATGGCGCGGCGCTGCTCGCCCTGAGCCCGGCCCGGAGGAGGACGAGCGGCGGCGGGAGGAGGAGGAGGAGGGGAGCGCCCATGGCGCGGGGGCGCCGGGCGCCGGCGCTGCGCACTCGGCTGCACGGGCTGCGCCTCATGTGCTCGGCGCGGGCGGCGCCGGCGCGGCGGGCGCTCTGGGTGCTCGCCTTCTGCACGGCGCTGGGGCTGCTGCTGGCCTGGTCCTCCGACCGCCTGCTGCACTGGCTCGCCTTCCCCTCGCACACCCGCGTGCGCACCGAGTGGAGCCGCCAGCTGCCCTTCCCCGCCGTCACGCTGTGCAACAACAACCCGCTGCGCTTCCCCCGCCTCTCCAAGGGCGACCTGTACTACGCGGGGCACTGGCTGGGGCTGCTGCTGCCCAACCGCACCGCGCGGCCGCTGCTCACCGAGCTGCTGCGCGCCGACGAGGCGCGGCTGCGCTGGTTCGCCAAACTGGCCGATTTCCGCCTCTTTCTGCCGCCCCGCCACTACGAGGGCATCAGCGCCGACTTCATGGACCGCCTGGGCCACCAGCTGGAGGACATGCTGCTGTCCTGCAAGTACCGCGGCGAGCTCTGCGGCCCGCACAACTTCTCCGCGGTGAGTGCGCGCCGGGAGCCCCGGCTGCTCTCGGCTCCTGTCCGGGGCCCCCTCGGTCGTGTCGGTTCTGGTCCCGGTTCCAGTCTGTCCAAGAGCCCTGGGTCGTGTCGCTTCTGGTCCATGTCTCCTGTTCGTGTCAGTCTAAGAGCCGTGGGTCGTTTCGCTTCTGGTCCCGGTTCCAGTCTGTCCAAGAGCCCTGGGTCGTGTCGCTTCTGGTCCGAGTCCCCTGTTCCAGTCGGTCCAAGAGACCTCCGAGTCGTGTCGGTTCTGGTCCGTGTCTGCGGCTCCTCTCGGTCCGCGGCATCCCCGGGTCGTGTTGGTCCAAGGGTACCGCTGGCTGATGGTTTAAGGGACGCCTGGTTGGTGTCGGTTCCGGTCCGTGTCCCGCTCTCCGTTCCGCTCCCAGCCCCGCCGCTCGCTGCGCGTTTGCCCGCTGTGCCCGGAGCGCTCCGGGGTCGCAGCGGTCCCGGAGGGTCTCGGTGTGTCCGGTGTGTCCCGGGGTGTCCGGCAGGTTCCGGAGGGTCCAGCGGGTTCCGGGGTGTCCGGCAGGTTCCGGAGGGTCCGGCAGGTCCCGCATGGCCAGGCAGGGTCCCCCTGGCCCGGGAGCCCCTCGGGAGCTCCCTGCGGGTCGCTGCCCACCGAGCGCTTTCCCTTTCGCTGGTTTTTCTACCGACTCGAAGTGATGCTCTCTGGTCTCGGGGTGACTGACTGGCGTGTGAGGGGCTGGCTGCTGCCTTGGGTTTTAATGAGAAATAATTAAATTAGTGTTGCACCATCCCCGCCGCTGCCTTCCCACGTTCCGCGTTGCTCCCAGCCTAGTGGCACCCGGATTTCTGCCCAGTCCGAGCCGGGGTCCCCCAGGGCTGCAGCGCGGTCCGGCCCTGCCCTGCCCATCCCGCCCGGCTTTGCTGTGTCAGACCCCCGCGCTCTGTCCGGGCTCCTTCGGCTCCCCGGGAGCCCCCGGAGTTGCTCCTTTGGGGCCGCGGGACTTGTGCACTCTGGAGCGCTTTGGGATGCGGAGCTTTGCCGAGCGGAGCTGATCCCAAAGGTGTTTGAGCCCCGATTAACCGGCGGGGTTTGGGATCAACCCCAAAACTCGGGGCAGGGCTTTACAAAGCACTAGGAGTGGGATCCCTGCTTGGGAAGAGCCCGGTGGGACTGTTGGGAGCTCTGGTGTGTTGGGAGGAGGCTCTGGGTGAGAGCTGGAGCCAGACCCACGTGAAGGATGCCCGGGAGCAGCGGGATGCTGATGGTGCTGGAATATTCCGTTCCTCTGATCTCTGCGGGCAGCGCGGGGGGCGCCTGGGGCTGAGCATCCTGGAAAGGGGGCTGGGGTCTGTGGGGACAGAGCAAACTCTGCCGGGGAGCTGGATCCCAGCTCTTCCTGGGATGCAGCTGGAAATCAGACGGAATTGTCCCTTTGGGCTTGTCACGGCAGCCGCTAAACTGTGCAGGGAGGAGGGAGGGACTCCCCGCGGGATGGAGGAGCTGCCCCGGCTGTGCAGGCAGCAGCTGCTGCTGCGAGCTGGAGCAGGAGCGGCACAGCTGGGGGGAAATCATAAATAAAACGGGATTTTGGGGCAGGCCCTTTCCAGCAGGACAGTCAGGTGCCATAGCATGAGGAAATTGGGGAATTACAGCAGGAGCAGGCAGTGGGCGGTGGGGAAAAGCTGCTTCCTCCTCCCGGGTGCCCGGGTAGGATCTGCTGGTGCTTGGCCGGTGCCGAGGGGCTGACTGCGGCTTTTACCGAGCCCCTCACTCCTCCAAGGTGCGGCAAACCCGGCGAGGGTCCCGCTGTCCCGGCCAGAATGAATCCTGTGGCCGAGGGCTGCTCTGGGGGTGCTGCAGGAGTTCCTCCGGGGTGGAATTGGGCATTCCTGGCTCTGCAGCTGCTCCACGGTGGCCGAGGAGCGGGGTCTCCTCCAGCCATCCTGGAAAGGTCCCAGAAGCTGCTTCCCGAGGCTGGGGGGGAGGAACTGGGGGTGTGATCCCTGGGAGATCCCAGCACTGAGGGCATTGCTCAGCTGAGGAAACAGGGAGAATATCCTTCCCATCCCAAAGGGCCGTGTGGCTCCAGGGTGGAGGAAGAGGGAATCCCTGTGCCAGGAGCCGGCTGGATCTGCCTTCCCTACCCCTGCGGCAGGTGAGGAGGGTCGGTGCCACCTCCCCGTGTCCCGGCACGTCCCTCCTCCTCCTCCTGTCTGAGGGAACAGGGGAGGGAGTGACCTCTGCCTTGTCCTTGAGGGGAGGCTGAGGAGCTTCTCCACCTGGGAACCACAGGTGAACAGAGGTGTTCCCTGGGGAGGTGCTGGGAGCAACTGCCCGGGGTCGGGAGTGTTCCGAGAGCTCAGGACAGGGCACTGCCCACTCTGCTGTGTCTGTGGTGCCACATCCAGGGCTGGGGTTTCCCGTGGGGCTGAGCCTGGGGCAGCCCCTGGGGTCTGGAGTACTTGGAGCTTCTGCTTCTCTTCCTGGATTCGGAGGGGGAACCCCAAGGAGAGGCAGGAAAACCCTGTGGTGTGAGCTGGGCACAGGACTGAGGCAGAATGTGTGAAAAGATAAATGCAAATGGAATGAATGGAGGTGTAAAGAGAATTTTGCAGGTTTTAGGCCTGCTCAGGTGCTCCAAGAGCGTCTTCTGTGCCAAAAGACCAGGGGGAGGTGAGGCTTGCCTGGGTAAAAACTCCAAAAGCCCAAAGCAGAGGGGATTTGAAGCAAACGAGTCCTGGCTGAGATGTGGAGCAGAGCAAAGGGGCTGGGGGAGAGAGCTGCTCTCCAGTGAGTGCTTCCAGCTCTGCCCTGCAGCTCCTCCAAGATATTCCTGCTCCTCCCAGGCCATCTCCCACCAGAGATCCCCTCTCCTCCTCCCAGCCCATCTCCCACAGGAGATTCCCTTCTCCCAGCCTCTCCAAACCGTGGGGCAGAGGGTGTTGGGTTTTGTGGGTGACATGGAAAAGGAAGAGGACACTGGAGAATGAGCCCAGGAATCCCAGCAATGTGGGAAGTGTTGCTTTTATTCCTTAAGAAATGGAAATATGGGATTGCAGTGATCTTTGGAGCTTGGGGCTGCAGGGCTGGGATGATCCTGTTGGATTTACTCCATTTAGGAGGGCTCAGGTCTGGATTATTCCTGGCTTGCTCCAGGAGGAGTTTGTTGTGCCTGTTAGTGTTTTCCAGAAGGATGAGGATTTGTTAATGGATCAGATGGAGTCTCCTGTCCTCAGTCAATGTGTGGCTTCACTTATTTTAGGCTGGACCTGAAGCTGGGCTGTTGGGGTGGTTATCCAAGAATCCTGACATAGTTTGAGTTGAGAGGGGCCTTAAAGCCCAGTTCCATGGGCATGAACACCTCCCACCATCCCAGGGTGCTCCAAGCCCCGTCCAGCCTGGTCTTGGACCCTTCCAGGGATGGGCAAAAACCATCCATGAATGCTTGGAGCTGGATAAATCCAACCTTCCCAACTGCCCACGTGCTGATTGCAAGGGAAGGAAGCATCCAGCAGCTCCTGTCCTTCAAAACTTCTCCCAAATTGCAAATCCAAGTGCCAGACTGGGCAGTTCAGTGGGTGAGGACCTGCTTTCCCTGGGGTGGCCGTGTCAGGGAGGAGCTGAGGCTCAGGATGAAGTGGATGTTGCTCTGCTCTGCATTCCCTGGATTTGGGGTTGATTTATTCCTCTGAGCTCTTTGTCTCTGCAATATTTATCTTGGTTGCCATGTCCTGTGCTCATTGATTTCTTCCTTTCTAGGATTTTTCATCCTGAGAAATTAATGAGTGGATCCAACATCCTGGGGTCTGTTCATGGGCTGGGGTTTAGGGTTAATGATCTCCTGATTTAATAACTCCCCAAAGCAAATTGGCACCTGTGCCTCTGCCTGGGGAGCTGTGGGGACACAGGGGTTGTGCTGGGAGGGGTAGCAGGGTTTGGTCCCATCCTTGGTGAAATCCTTGGATTTCTGGGGTGTTCAAAGGCTCTGCAGTCAATACTTGCTCGTGTTTGATTTACTCAGTTATTTCTTGTTAAACCATTTAATTTCTCCCCAGAGCAGGGACTTCATGGGGTGGCAGCTACACAGAGATCTCAGTGCTGCTTTTTAAAAATATTCCTGTGAGTTTGCCTGAAAATCTGATGAATATTGCTGACATACCCCTCAGGTGGGGCTGTAATTGTGGTTTCCTCAGCAGAGAATCCCCTGTGTCCAGGGTGAAGCTCAGCCTTATCCCACCAAAGGAATGGGGCATTTCAGCCCTGGGTTTGATGGGAGGGCAGACAGGAAATCTGTGCCACCAGCTTGGAGCAGCTGCAAGCACCTTAATTACCACCACCACAATTAATTGTAGAGGAATTTCAGGATGTGGGGTTGTTTATTTGGGGATTTTCCTCACCCACCCACAAACTGTTTTATGCAATTCCCTTTTCCACCTTTATTCTCTCATATTTTTATTTTAATTCTTTATTTTTGGCTTCACTTCCAAACAAAGCTCTGGCTTGGGGGTGGTGTTGCCTATGGAAGGGGCGTGGGTGGTGTTTAACGTGAGGCTGGAGCCTGGAATGTGCTCCCAAATTGTCCCAGTGCCACTTTAGGGAAGTGCCTGGGGCTGGTTGGACTCAGCCTGGGATCACTGTGAAACCAAGGCCTGTTCTCCCATCCTGAGGGAATCCTGCTGATTTTGGGCTCCTGGTGGCAGAATCCAAAGAGGAATCCAAGATTCTCCAGGATTCTCCTGGTGGGAGAATCCAAGGAGGGTGGGCTATGCCAAGTGCTGCCCCAAGCAATGCTCCCTGTGAGGGATGGGCTGAAGGGTTTGGGGTGATTTCCTGGGAGTTTGGGGTAGAGGTTCCTGATCTGCAGAGTTGGGTGCTGAGGGGATTTGCATTCTCTTGGGCTGGGGAATGAAAACAGGGATGAGTTTGGCACTGAACTGGTGGGCCCTGACAGGGGCCAGAAGCTGGGGGAGAAGAAGAACAGAGCCCAGGGGTTCCAGAGCTGCAGGGATCCC